ATCTTTCCAAAATAGCATTTGTTAAAACTTCTTCAGATCGGAAAAAGCCAATCGAAGTTTTTGATCCTGATATTGTTAATATCAAAGATTTATTCTTTACAGATGAGCCATTCTTTCCTATAGAAGAATACCAAACTCAAGATTATCTTTTTAAATTACGTGAGTTGGGAATGAAAAGATCAATGACTGGTACAGATCTTATTGATCGAATAGAAAAATATAAATCAAGATTATGTGATGATGAGATTGTTTCTGTTCACAATAAATCATTTTTACTTTTAAAATATATTGATAAAAATTATCAAGATTTGAAAGATGACATTTTATTCCGAGAAAAGCTTCAAACAGAAACGTGGATTCCAACTTTAACACCAGAGCCAGATAATCAGCGAACCTTCTCAAAAGCTTCAGATTGTCGAGATAATTTATATATAGATTTAATTTCATATACATTGCCAATAGTTGATTATAAGATCGTTAGCGATAAATTACGTCAGTCTCTTGGATGGGATACTATTCCACCCACAGAAATTGTAATAAAACAATTATTACATTTGGTAAATTTAATGAATCAACCGAGAAAGCATTCGATGAATAATATTAGAAATCGAATAAATACAAATTACGAACATTTCAACAAAATAATTAATCAACCAGATGGAGAAACTCATTTAGCAATTTTAAAACAAAATTTGGCAAAAGAACAATGGATTCTGAATGAGTCAGATGATAATGATATCTACACAATCGATGAAGTGGTATTTTCTCTTCATAATTTTATTCCGAGTGGTTATTGGGTTCAACTTTCTCGGAATAATAGAATAAATTATTCGACACTCTTTGAGAAGCTTGGTGTTAAAAAAACACTTGATATTCAAGATTTTATTCGAGTACTACGAAATGTTAATTTTTCGAAACCAAAACAAAGAGCCAATATAATGTCTATAATTGATGAACTATCAAAAAGTAAAGAAGAAAATTTAACAGGATTATTAATTCCAAATATGAATTGTGAAATGGTAGATTATAAAATCGTTTTGTTTGATGATTTGGGATCAAGAGAAAATGATTCAATGAAAGATTTTAATATTATAGCCCATTCAGAAATTTCAAAAAATTTAGCAAAAAGGTTAAAACTTGAAAATTTAAGCGAAGTTTTGTTAAAAAATTCGAAATTTGATTTTGGACAACATGAACAAGTAACTACAAGATTGAAAAATATTCTTAGGGTATGTACAAAATTGTCTTTTCAAAATAGTAAATTGACTTACTTTATTTATTTATTTAATTTACTTAATTTACTTACTTTAATTTACTTACTTAATTTACTTAATAATTTACTTAATTTACTTAGGATTATGATCGTAAAGAAATGGTCTTTCGTGAATTTCTCCAAAATGCAGATGACGCACGTGCTACTCGATTCTGTATTATTCTTGATGATAGTGAATATTCAACTAATACATTATTAAATGAAACATTGAAATGTTGGCAAGGACCTACCATATGGATATATAATGA